AAACAAATATCTAAAACACCTACCAGGGCAATGCGGTTGGGTGCAGTAACGTATCTCAGAATGATTGCCAGTGCAATTGTTACCACCATATGCCGGTGTTGGTTTAGAACAGCTACGGTTACGTTCTTGTGTACCATTGCCACACGATACAGAGCATCTTGTCCAGTTGCTCCACTCAGAAAAGTTACCATCGACTGTAGCAGAATAAAAAACAATTGTTATCAAGCACTACAAGGAATACCTGCCATTAACTGTTATAAAGTAAAGATTATATTTTGTATTGTCTTTCCTTTCCTTTTTTTTTTTTTAATTTTCTCTTCGTTTTGTTTCATTTTGTCCCTTTTTTCTCTTTTGTTTTCTTTTGTTTTGGGTGAAAACATCGTTTTGTCAAAACATTGACTGATGATATTTTTTTCCTTCTTTTTTGGATTCAGCTGCAGACAACCTAAAACAACAAAACATTAAGTAGTAAACAAATATCTAAAACACATACGTACCAGGGCAATCCAGTTGGGTGCAGTAACGTATCTCAGTATGATTGCCAGTGCAATTGTTACCACCATATGCTGGTGTTGGTTTAGAACAGCTACGGTTACGTTTTTGCATACCATTGCCACATGATACAGAGCATCTTGTCCAGTTGCTCCACTCAGAAAAGTTACCATCGACTGAAATGGGAGAAAAAGGCAATAAGATGACAGATTTCTATCATGAAAATTTAAGGAAAATTCGAAGCAAATCGAGGGAAGAAATGGCAGCCATTTTATCTTAGGTAAGTAAGCAAAGAGTTTTTGGATTTTACTATCAAAGAACTAAAAAACAGTTCAAAAACATTCACGATATTTTGATCTACGAGATCTCAAGACTATTCCGTAGAGTTTTGTGAACAGGTTCGATGACTGTCACAATGTAAACTGGTTTCCCAGGAATTGTTTATATCCAAGGAAGTACAGTGGAACCCTGCTCTATGGACACCCGCTTAATAATGACACCTCGTTATTAAGGACACGTTTCAAAGTCCCAACGAAAGCTCCATACATTTTCTGTTAAATTAACCCGCTTTATAAGGACACCCGTAATAAGCACAAAGGACACATTTCTAGGACCGGGGGACCTGAATGACAGTTTTGCATACATAAACAACCCCGCATTAAGGACACTTGAAATTTGAARACTTCTTTACTGTATTTGCTTATTGATATAATGAGCTGAATACGGATTATATTGTCAGTTTCTTGCATATCAACAGACAACACACTGATCATTGCAGTATAGTTTGCTATTACACCATAATGAAATAGATAACGCTCGATTTTAGCCGGATTTTAAGAGATGTTC